AAGGTGGAGCTGAGGAAACGCTTGCGTGAGGCGAATGCAGCCAAGCGTACAAGGACCAAGCGCCTTGGTGAGTTTCTACCGACTCCATCTCGTGCTGTTATGGTGAATGGAGTACTGGAGATTCCGTACTGCGCTGACAGTGGCTCTGACCATACCGTGATGGGCCGCTCTCACTGGAATCAACTCCGGGCTCTGGACCCAAGTGTTCAAGCTGAAGAACTTACTGTCCCTGTTCAGAACCAGACGTTTGGGTCTATGTTGGTGACTGCCGATAAGAAGGCCAAACTCCATTTAATGATTCGCACCGCGGCTGGGCAGGTTAAACCGATGAAGGCTGTGGATGTGCTGATAGTCGATATGGATGACGACGAGTTCATACTTGGTAATGATGTACTAAGAATGCTTGGGATTGATGTGGAGCGTCAACTGGAGCAACTAGCTGACCTAAATGTGGATGAAACAAGTAGCGATCCTGTTGAACTGGAAGCCGACGAATCTCCGGTCCGAATTGGAGAACCTCAATCTGAGAACGAGGACGTATTTGCTGCAGTTGAACGGTTGGTTGAGCAAGCAGTCGAGAACGGATTCCCAGCAGACAAGCTCGATCGACTTCGTACTATCATCCATGCCTACGATGTATGGCGTTTGACTCTGCAGGATGACCCACCAGCACGTGTCCCACCTCTGGAGATACGACTACGGGAAGGGGCTCGTCCAACAAGGTGTAAGCCTCGACGGTATCCCCCTCACATTCGCAAATTTCTTCACGATTTCAACTCTCGTTTGGTAAAACTAGGACTCGTTTACGAGAATTCGGAAAGTCGATGGGCGAGTCCCGTTCTCCCTGTCAAGAAGTCAGCGGACCTTATGGATCTTCGGCAAACCACAGACTATCGTGAGTTGAACGCATTGACTGAAGTCATGGCAGCAGTTATGCCGATTTTATCCGTGGTGATGGAGAACGCGAAGGGAATGAAACATTTCGGACTCTTTGATTTTTTGAAGGGCTGATGGCAGCTTCCGTTGGCTCTAATGTGTCAAGAATTGCTTTCATACATGACCGATGAGAAGGTTTTTACCCCTCGCAGAGTGCCTCAGGGTAGTAGTGATGCTGCGATATTCTTTCAGAAGACCATGGAGAATTGCTTTGCCAGTCTACTGTACGACCATTTACTGATTTAGATCGACGACTTACTCCTTTATGCCAAGGATATTGATGTATATTTGGACAAGTTGGAAGAAATGCTGTCACTAATGGACCACTTTAGCTTAAAGCTGAGTGCAAAGAAAACGAGCTTGTACCAGACTGAGGTCAAGTGGTGCGGCAGGATCATAAGTGGTGAAGGCATCAGACATGACCCAAACCGAATTGACTCGCTACGTGCTTTGCCATACCCACGTACTGCGGGAGAGCTTCAGCAATTTGTCTGTGCGGTCAATTGGATGCGTCAAAGCATTATTGATTTTGCAAGGCAGATTGCCCCTTTACAACAAAAACTTGACGCGGCTCTCACGAAAACCAAGAGGACCAATAGGGCGGCTGCTGGCATTAACATTGAGCTGAGCAGTGATGAACGAGTGGCATTTGACCGGATTAAGGATTCGCTCGCCAAAGCTGCTACTCTCGATTTTCCTGATGACAACGCTACCACATGTCTCTTCACGGATGCCTCGAACGTTGGATACGCCGTTATTGTGACTCAAGTTGTGGACTTCGACCCTCAGAAGCCTGCTACAGAGCAACAACATCGGCTCATTCACTGCACAAGTGGAACGTTTGCCGGTAGCCAGCTAAACTGGACTGTCATCGAGAAAGAGGCATTCCCCATTATCGTTGCCTGTGATAAACTGGATTACTTGCTACTAAGGCCAAAACCCTTTCGGATGTATTGTGATCATCGTAACCTGATTCACATCTTCGCACCGGACGTTTCGATCAAGAAACATATTAAAGGGAAACTTTTACGATGGTCCATGAAGCTAATGAACTACCAGTATGTAGTGGAGCATGTACCGGGATCTGATAATGTATGGGCCGATATGATTTCCCGCTGGGCTGGTAACCATTCGCCAACTGTGACACGACTGAAGGTTGCTCGGGCTCGCCCAGACCAAAGGACTGAGACTGTGTCTGCTTTGCGCCCTCTGGTTGATGATCGTTTTGTGTGGCCTACACTGGTGGAACTCAAGGCAATACAAGCCAAGAACGCGGCTCCTGTTCACGGTAAATGAAATGATGATGGTCTCGTGACCCTGGAGGACAAGCTGTGGATCCCATATGAAGAAAAAGAGTTACTTCAGCGGCTGTGCATCATTGCGCACTGTGGCGCTCAAGGGCACCGCGGCCAACAAGCCATGATTGCACACCTGGGACGGCTTTTCGCCATCGAGCACCTCTCAGATGTGGTCGCAAATTTCGTTAAGAAGTGTCTGCTTTGTCTGCATTCAAGAGGGGAGAAGATTATCCCACGTCCGTGGAGCGAGGTGATTGAGTGTCGTACACGTAATGGTGTTCTTCATTTTGACTTTCTTTACATGGGTGAAAGCTTTGGAGGCAGCAAATATCTTTTGGTTATGAAGGATCACGCCACACATTACTGCGAATTGGTTGTTGCAGACTCAGCCGAAAGTAGTGTTGTGGTTGAAGCTTTACTGGATTGGCACTCACGATTCGGTGTTCCTCCTGAGTGGGTGTCTGATTGTGAAACCCATTTCAAGAACGAGATTGTCGCCGAGCTGAGTCGCCGTCTCCGGTCGAAGCAGTCATTCACACTTGCGTATAGTCCGTGGGTTAACTGATCAGTTGAACGTGTGAACCGGGATGTACTACAAGTGGTGAGAGCAATGATTTTAACATACAAAATTGGATACAAAGACTGGGTCTACTTGGTTCCGATGGTGCAAGCCAATTTGAACCATACAGCACTCCCATCTCTTGGGAATCGAGCGCCAGTCGAGCTGTTCACTGGACTGCCACGGCCTACACCCCTCTGTGAATTTTATCTACCAGTGAGAAACAAGTTACAGCAGATTCCACAGAGCGAGCAGATAGACGACTACCTAAATCGGTTGAGAAGCAGCTTACAGAAGATGCATGAGGTGGTTGAAGACAAAAGACTGAAGCAAAGACTTTTGAACAAGAAGCGCGAACGAGGAGAGAATATCGTAAACTTTCACGTTGGAGATTACGTCTTGCGATCCCGAACGGATGAGAAACGTGGAAAAAAACTCCAAGTGAATTGGGTTGGACCGTATCGAGTGACTCGGGCTGATTCCCACTCCTTTCGTGAAGAGCACCTGATTACAGGAGAAGAACATGATGTGCACCCTTCACGGTTAAAGATGTACGCAGACGACAGCTTAAATGTCACGGATGAGCTACTCGAACACGTAGCTGCTCAAGGCATCATCTTAGCAGTTAAGGAGCTGAAGGACCACAAGTGGAATAATGCTACAAAGGACTTTGATATTTTAGTAAGCTGGAAGGGCCTACAGACGATCGAAGACTGTTACGAACCAATGCAAGTTTTGAATAAGGACATCAAGATTTTATTGAAGAGATATGTGGACACTGCTGAAGACCCTCGTCTCACGGATCACTGGAAGAAGATAGATCGTGAGGACGGCAGCACAGCGTCTACACCTCCTGAATCAGTGAAGGGCAAGAAGCCTCATGGCCGCCCTCGCGGTAGGAAGAAACGAAGTCACCCCGATGGAGAAACCGTTCGGCGTGACAGCGACGACGCGGATGAGGTACAACCTCGAAGTGTCCAGCAAACAGTTCAGCGTACTTTGGATGAGGACAGCCAAGGGCACACCGGTGCCGAGGACCAAGATCCTCAGCTTCCTCTAGGTCGTCGAACTCGATCAATGATGACAGCCACCGTGGGCCAAGTTCCGCGTGTCCGCAGTCAGCAGACATCTCGAGCACCCAGTCAGCGCCTCAAGAAACCAGTCCGGTTGTAAGCGTCAGACGCTTGCCAGCCGTTGGTCATGCGCTCTGGGTGATATCGCCACAACCTTCGCAAGTCGAGCGGAGGGGTAGTGGGGAAACCAAGCTTCGGGAGCTGTGTAGTGAATCCTAGGTATTTCACCTTGGTTTCCCTCATAGTTCAACGGAGACGACCCAAGGGCGCCTGGCAGCTTTGCCATCTTCAGGCGATGGGTCTGCGTGTCTTCCCAGTCGGGCTAGTAAGGTCCGACCCGGGTTTTATATTAGGAACCAGGCCAACTACATATCATCTTTCTTATAACTTTCCCAGCGAACTTTCTGAGGGACGCCTTAGAAAGAAGCTGATAATTGAGCTCGATCTGGTTACCATCAGACTCGAGACTCATTCTACGATTTACCCGATACAATACACTTGGCTATAAGTTCCAGCGGGGTGGCTCCCGCTTTGTCGAGTGCTGATTGGTTTTCGCTTGGGATTTACTACACTGCCATAATGCATCGGTTCACAAGATTTGGGTCCAGGAAGTAGCTGGAAAATGATACAGTAGTCTTCGTCTTGATTTGGATCTGCCTGGTCGACGAAATCGCTCATAGTTCCTTTCATTGCACTTATAACAGCAGTCAATCCAGAAGAACGGAAGACATTTTGGACAAAGCGGCATGTTCGAATATTTCCCATTCCTTAGCCAAATGATAACCGTCGAGAAAAAAGACACAGCATCCCAAATAGTCCTCTTTAACCGGTGTAACTTCATTGCGTACGTAGTATTAATACGCGCTTCTCCGCTCCCATACCACAAAATTCAAATTTAACAATTCTAAAATCGATGTCTAGTGCGCTGCACGAGATGTCAAAACGCTTCATCGGTTTCTAGGTACCATTAAGCTAAAAACAAATAGCAATACTGATTAAAACTGGGATATTATGTACTTTAAATAAATTGTTGGCTTACTATGAAACGTTAGTTTTATATTTTCTTATCAAAGTCAAAATAGCCGTCTACAAATAGCGAGATGATCGTCTTCAACATGCGACGACAGTTTGCAAATGACCCGGCATCATTGGCGTTCAATTTTCTCGTTGGGATCGTTGCTCTTCCTTTTACCTTTGCGGTACACAGATGCAGCTAATTGGGCCCAAGTCAGTGGTGCAAAATACACCAATGTAGCGGTTCGAGAGATCACGCCGTGGACAAGTCGACATGGTCATGCAGTGACAGCTTTAGACTTCAGTGATGACTATGAGCGCAGTACGGGACAGAAGGCTAGGCTTTTTGTATTAGGTGGAGACTCGAACGTCCAAGGCTCACAGGACCTGAGAGCGTATCCTGGCGGTGGTGCAATGCGCAACGACGTATGGAGTACAACCGACCCCACTTGGAATTTGCAGACAAATATCCTCAAAACTACCAAGTGGGGGGATCCTCTACCTCAAATTGTATCCAATGTAACGTGGCTACAGACCAATAACGGCAAGCGACCACCTCGAGGTGTGACCTACACAGAGTGGATCTCCTGTGCTACCGCTGCTTGGGCTGTCCATCCTCCTTCAGGATGTGATGACCCCACTAAACCTCCTGGTGCATACTTAGCTGATAACATGTTTTCTCCTCGCCGAAACTTCGTCGCTCTTGCCTTCCAGAACGAGCTCTTTGTCTTCGGTGGTCGAGCTCGTGAGCATTTTCCAGTACCCCAGTCGCAACAACGCGGTGGTACGGGGCCAGGCACTATGGCTCCACTCAACGCTAGATGGATGGAGTTTGCCGTGCTAAAGAACGACGTGTGGTGTAGCAGTGACGCCGGCGCATCGTGGAAACTTGTGACTCCAGGGTGCGCTTATCCACAGAGCGCTTTAGTGCACAAAGCTTCACGTCCAGAGCTTCAATGTGAGGATGACGACCAGTGTGAAGGTGACGCATCATGTCAAGTAGACGAGGCGACAGCAACCGGCTTTTGCGTCTGCAACATGTGGTCGCCACGTGAGTTCCACGCTGTTGCAGTGTTCAATAACGCCCTGTTTTTGTCTGGAGGATTCGCGTTAGTTGAGTTAGGCAACTGCGGTGTCGAAGAGAACGCTCGCAAACGCCCATCAGGCGAAGAGTATGCGTGTAGTGGCGGCTATCGCGCATATTTGAACGACATTTGGACATCCACAGACGGTCAACACTGGAAGATGCTCACCCCTCACGCAGAGTTCACTCCTCGTGGTGAACATTCGATGGTGGTATTCAACTCTCTACTGTATATTTTCGGTGGTCGTACCGGGGCTTCAAAGACAGAGGAAGGAACAGGACAAGCACAGACAGAGCTATTGAATGACATTTGGGTCAGTGCTACTGGGTCTACCTGGACTCGAGTAACAGAGGCAGCGCCATGGACACCACGAGCAAAGCATGTGACTCTAATGCTGCCAGGCGCTACAGATCAAACCTCAGGCGATGACCCAGATGATCAACTGATCTTGATGTTCGGAGAGGATGCAGAGCGAACGCTGGAAGATGTTTGGGTCTGGAAAGGAGGGAACTCCAATTGGATCAAAGATTACTCGTCCGATACCGCGTTTGTGGAGTATATAAGACCCACAAGTGACGTGTCGTATCTGCGGACAATGGTGGACACACACGCTCTAGCGCTGGGTGTTGCTGGGGTGAAGACGGTTCAAGACCTTACGAGTCTTTCATTCGACCAAACAATAGCTCTACGTGACCTAATGCCAATTTGTGACTACATTGCATTGGCCAAACTTGTGGTAGAACAATGTACCATACAACCGTCAGAGTATGAAGGGCAAGAGTTTGCTCATGTCAAGGTGATCCAAGGAGCCAATGGCGACGCGGAAGCAGCAGAAACAACTGCTACAACTCAAGACGAGACCAACTGGGACGGCTGTACACACATTGGCAGTAAGGTGGTAGACACCAGAACTGGTCGTCTCCGGTGGGGTGACGTACTGGGGGTCGATCAAGTCCAGGTCCTTCGAGACGTGTTTGTTGATGTGCAAGAGAGTATTTGCCAATGGAGACCCAAGCCACGATCGGGTCATGCCGGTGTAGTCTTCAAGCGTAAAGTGCTCGTTCTAGGTGGCCTTACAGCGCCAGACTACTACGACAACGACGTCTGGTATCGGGATGCTCGTCGACCACGTGCACAGTTCACGTTGTTCCCTACAAGTGGCAGTTCGGACACTGTGTTTAAGTTTGAAAGTGACAAACCTTACTCCGTCTTCGAGTACTTTTTACTCGATACAGTGGAGCAGCTCGTCGTGCGTAACTGGACGGTAACTCTAGGCGAAGTCGATTTTGAGAGTTGGCTTGACTCCGGTACTTTTCGGATGCGTGTCCGTGCTCGAGACCCTGCTGGTAATGTGGACGAGACGTTCGAGGACGGTCGAAATGAACACACGTGGGTGTACGAGCGTCCACTACCCTGGGGTCTGATCATCGGTCTGTCTTGCGTCGGGTTAGTGCTGCTGATTGGCTTCTTGATGGAGTGGCGGAAGCGCCGCAAACGCGCAGCCATGGAGCGCTACGCCATGAAACGTATGCGTCGCAAGCTCAAGAAGAAGAATGCTGCAGTAACTATTGCAAAGGAAGGAGATCCGAATTGGCGCGAGACGTATGACAAGGCCAAAGACGGGAAGAAGGGCAAAAAAGGTAAGAACGCGACTGCAAAGACGAAACCCACCACAGCTAAGGACAAGAAGGACAAAACGAAAAGTAAATCTAAGGATAAAACGACGGACAAGAAGGTAAAATCCAAGACGAAAAGCGGGAAAAGTAGCAGGAAGAACAAGACGAAGAAGACTGAGAAAACGAACGACAAAGCGAAAAAATCAAAGACGGCGGACGCCAAATCGAAGTCTAAGGACATATCAGTGAAGAAGAAGCCGAAAGATAACACGAAGACAGTCGAGAAGCGGCCCGGTAAAGCAAGCAAGAAAGAGAAATCTGACAAGAAGAAACACGGCGACAAGAGTAAAAACTCCGATAAGAAGAAGTCGAAGTAAAAACGTGACTTATGAACAAAACATAATAACTGATAAAAAATAAAAGCTGTTTCGTAAATTACCATAGTATGATACACCGAGGAAATTAACCCTTTTACAGCGCTATTCTGTATTCTACAGAATAAGAATTATGACAGGACATAATTTCCAGCAAGCTTGTAATCGTCGCAATTCCTCGCATGCTTGTGTTTGTAAAGGGTAGAGATGGGTGGATCGATCTTGAAGGATCTACGAAGGGAAGATAGCCGGGGATAATTCGAATTGAATAGAAAAGACAGTATAAGATGACTGGAGGTTTTGAAAATTCAGTTTCTTGCTATTTTCGGCAGTTGTTGGTGACCACAGATTTTAGATTTATTCGAGAATGAACGCTCCCAACGAGAAACCGTTCAAGCAGTTATGGCGCGAGCTATCCAAGGCAGGATGGAAAGCGAGGAAGCCTAAAGGACTGAGTGCGGACTTCACGTACGTGATGCCCAGTGTGACTGGCCGCTTGGATGCAGAGAAGCGCGGAGTTAAATACTTCGTTGGTACGTTCTGCAGACAGCTCGGTATATATACTCACAGTACTGACAGATATGTGCAGGCGAACAAGAACTCATGACATTTGGACGTCGTCAGGGGTTGCTGGAGCTCTCACCTTTGCCATCACTCCCAGCAAGGATCCCCATGGGAAAAGAATGCGGCGTATGAGTTGGCCCGCCGTCGTGCGCCGGTTGAAGAAGTGCTGCCAGCGGAAGAACAAGCGGCACCAACTTTGGAGGTGACGCCTACTCCTCCAACTCCTCCTTCGAGTTTCCCTCCGCGTACTTCAGCTTCTACACTGTCGACTCAAGCAGGTCAAGCAATTCAGCCAGATACAGAGCAAGAAGGAGGGAGCACCACTACTAGTATGAGGATCCGGAATACGATGTACGCTCGGGTCATGAACGTGCCGACGAGTCGAAGAGTGAAAGGGACGATTTCAACGGGATTGATGAGTTTGATGGAGAGAACTTCATGGATGCGCTACGTGGAGAGAAGCTGTTCGGGTCAGTTGCTGTAGATGATGTGAATCTGTGCGATGAAGCCGAAGATGACAACGACCGTATTGGTTGTGACTTCGATGATGAGCTGGATGTGCCCGTGTCGCCACGAGAGGACTACGAAAGCGAAGTAGAGTCTGACAGCGACTGTGAGGAGGACAGTGAGCTATTTGTGCAAGCCGACGAAGACATGCGGCGCTTGGGAGCTTCTGGGTGGAACATTTATGACGAGCAAAATTCTGGTAAGTCGGTCGTCTACAGAATAACTCTTTTGATTCTTTTCTAACTCTGTATTATATTGAAAACAGGTGATTTGACTCTTGAAGCCGCGCAGTTGTACGACGGAAACTGGGGGCCAACTAGATCTGCAGCAGCATTTGCAGAGTCCTCATTAGGAATGTTTTTCTACTTTCTTCCCAAGAAGCTCTGGTTTGTGATTCAGAAGGAGACGAATTTGTATCGCGAGGCTTGCATCCCGCTTGTCGCACGTCAGCAACGAGAGAAGCAGCTTCAAGCACAAGCAAAGGATCCCCAAAAGAAGGTCGACTCTGTCCAAGAGATTGAAGAGAAGCTACGGCGAGTAAAACCTATCCAGGCTCACGAAATTATCCACGTGATTGGTCTCCTCGTTGCTCGAACCCTTTGTTCTCATACGGATGGCCTGGAAAACCACTGGTCTACTCGAGAAGATGGCGCAGTCCCTCGTGGAACGTTCTCCAGGTTTATGAAGAGAGACAGATTCAAGATGATCACTCGTTACCTGCATTTCGCTAGTAACAACGCTGCAGATGCGTCTAAGGACAAGGCATGGAAAGTCAGACCGGTACTGCAGGTACTCGAGAAAACATTTCGGCGTGGCTACCGGTTGGGGCCGCGAATCAGTTTTGACGAAGGCATCATTCCAAACAGGAGCAAGTTCAATCCGGTGCGCGTCTACAACAAGGACAAACCGCACAAGTACGGGACTAAGGTTTACATGACGTGTTGCGCGGAGACTGGCTACTGTTCTCGGTACGTTGATACAGAATTGCTAGTAGTATCAGTAGTATCGGGGTGTTTCTCAGTATCATACAGATTGCCAATTCCTCTTTTCACAGAATACGAGTGAAGTCACTTACAATATGCTGTATCTTCTTCTGTATGCTACAGAATTGAAGTTTATCTCGGCGCGGCTAACAATCCAGCGGCAGCAAAGGGAACGGCACAGAAGGCAGTTATACGAAACGTGAACAAAGCCCTCGAAGGACAACCCGCAAAGCGACTTGTTGTCGCTGACAACTTCTACAGCTCGTGTGCACTGGTACTGGATTTACTTCGGAGGGGTTACTACTACGTGGGAACGCACCGCAACGACAGATTGGGCTGGCCAGTCAACTTTGCGCTCACACAGAAAACGCGGCCCAAGCGTATGCCCCGAGGGACGTATCGCGTCGCTCAAGCCAAAGACTTCCCTGAGCTCATTACTGTGTCCTGGATGGACTCGAAACCTGTGTCTATGATTGCGACTGGATGTGCAACGACGATGACTAGTGTGAGACGCCGAGTGAAGGGTGAGAGTGTTCGTGCAGACGTACCATGTCCCCATCTGGTTGCCGATTATCATACTGGTATGGGGGGTGTCGACCAGCACGACCAGCTGCGACTGCAGCGATATTCGATACAGCGATGTGTGGCTTTCAAAAAATATTACCGCCAGTTATTCTTGGGGTTTGTTGACATGGCGATTGTCAATGGGTTCATCCTGCACAAACTCATCTTGAAGAAAAAGGGAGAACGCATACCGACGCACGCAGAGTACATGCGAAGACTGCAAACGGAGCTTTTAGCAACAACCGAAGCCATATTGCGTGCAAACACCAACGCAGAGGATTTGATTACGGAGCCAATTCGAACGCAGCCACACGCCCTGCAGAATACGAACGACATGTATGATGGAAATGGGAAGAACAAACGTCGTCAGCACCTTTGCAAGGTATGCTCGGCAATGGCGACGCCCCAAACGAAAAGCTTTGAAAGCAGCTACTTCTGCCCCCAGTGCACTCAATCCCACGCCGGCTACGTACCTCTATGTAATCGCGTTCGGAGAGAGGATAGCGGCAACACGCTCACGTGCAGCCAGATTTGGCACCAGGTCTGGCGAAACGGAAGTGCGATTCCAGCACACCTGAAGAAGCGCATACGCTTTCGCAAGCGTAAGCGCGCTGACGAAGAGAAAGAAGACAGTAGTTAGCTAGTTAGTAGTCAAATCAATAGACTGTTCGCTCACCAAACTTTTCGGCCAGTTCAAGCCTAGTTCTTCTTCTACTCTTGCTAGTCTAGAACTGGCCGAAAATTTGGTGAGCGAACTTCTGCCGCGTAGCGATGAAGCTCCGGCGGCCATCCAAAATGGCGCGAAGCCGCCAATCTCACTTATCGTTTTGGAGGGGAAATACCTTACAGAAGACATTGCGATCTTTTTTTATTCTGCAGTAGCCAATCAAAACCCCAGATAATAGCGTATGGTGGATACATTGCGAAGTTTTTGTCCGTAGAAACGATGTCTTTGCACTTTTTCGCAGTGTCCACCTCACATGATTCGCGAGACAGCTACCATCAGATAAATTGTTGCATTCTTCTGTCAATAGTTTAATCAAGATAAAGCTTTATTCTGTATAATACAGAATAAAACCCCGCTTTAAAGGGTTAATAGTTAAACGCCCTTATTCTGCGACCGGGCAGCAAAAACAAAGTTTTTTTTAAACGTGGACGAGAGAAACACAACATTGGACAAGAATCGCTGTTAAGTTCGAATTCGTACTAAAAACGAAATCTAGAAATGATATTTGCTGCCGAACGCATTATGTGTCGTACACATTGTATGTGGTCTACATCACAGAAAATATTGCCCAAATTTTCAACGGTGGAGCACCATGACAAGGGCACTCACTGCCTGTGTGCCTGTTAGTTACAATTAGTAGGCGGCGCTGATGTACACACACGTACTATGTGGTCGCCCAAGTACCAACTGTTTAAAAAACTTGTGGTTCCTGATAACAAATATTTCGTCTTAAATAGTCCTTCTAGTGCTTGTTGCTAAATATTTAAGAATAGTTTTGATTATCAAATTTTTGCTTTGTATTACTTACAGCTTTTTCATATTTTTGCTGTAGGATTAATAAAAACGACAGTGTTATCTTCAAAATTTCAGTCGAAAAGGCTTTTATTCGCCGAATAAACCGTGTGTCGTACACCACGCAAAGGTTTATATTAGTTAAGTTAGACAGTTATCAAAAGTGCGTTTGCATCAGGTCTAGAATAGTCTTCGCTAAATAAGTATATATATCAATCCCTTTTACAGGAGTATTTACTGAAGTACATTGCTCTCATTTTGCGGTAGGAAATGTTCTAGTGTAGCACCGCCACCGCAAATACATCGGCCTCTACACCAAGTTCGCGCAAGGCAGCGACAACTACGCAAATGCCAAAGACAACAATGTATTTTAATTCATCGTAAGCTTCATAGCATCAACCGGAAACTGATGATCTCTCACTTAAAAAACTTTGTATAAATAAATATAAGTCGACGTCTCAAGTTAGAGGCACAAATACGAGTTCAGGGTTAAGCCTTTTCAGTCAGACGTCCACGACCACGAAATGTTGACCACTTTTTTGGATTATATTCGATTGTCCAAATGCCTATGTAATGACAAGGCCGATTGTAGATGCCAATAAGGACAAGTGTGGCCAGGGGAGTACGTATCTCGGCTAGTGGCGTTGCCCAACCCTACGGTGATTGTATCGGTCAGTGGTGATCACACGATATGATGCACTCGTTGACAAGTCCATCGTTACCATTCTCTGCGACTTAAATGTTGTTTCAGCCACGCTCACCGACCCCACCCCGCGCATCATCAAGGTCGATCCTGTAAGTTACGCACTTCAGACTGAAGCCGGCACATCCGACATGGTGCTTAATACGCAAGAGCTCTTGGAGTAACAGAACGCGGTGTGGACAGCCTGCAGGAAGAGAAGAGGTGCTCTGCCTTCCAAGGTGCAGTCCATGATAACGTTTCCATTTGAGCCCGATCACTCAGTGGATTTGGTCTGACCTAATCATCCCCACGTGGTCTATGTCCGGCGTCAACACATTTTGGATGTGGCCATGGGACCACAAAAGAAGATTCGTGCCGATCGGTATCGGGATCCGAAGACACCACTTAAATCTAGTCAGAATTCCCCATCGAGTCCACGCGATTTTCCGGTAGCGAGAGCTATCAGATACGTCGAGAGGGAGCAACTTTAGGCAGATATTGACAGCATCAGAGAGCAGAATCTGGGGCTGGGTAAAAAGCCGCACGAGACTTTTGCGGGAGATCCCGACGAGTTCAGCATTGCTGACCAAGGCAGCGACGAGGACGACGACTATTGGCAATTATGGCCACGGGTTGCGTTTCGGCCGTCTACAACGCAACCCCGGGTTGATCTATCGGCCATCAACGAGCGTTATACAGGTAAAAATGCTTTGATATTTTGAAGATTATGTAGAAGGTGCTCTTTCTTGGACAACAACCAATTGTTTTGCGACGCTTTGAGTATGGATTCAATGATGGCGGTTTGTCTATTATTCGTTTCCGGGGGGCAGGACTACTCGACAGGGTCCGCGCTTTGGAATCTACGGCAAGTTCGACGGACCTCTCCGAAAGAACGGAATCTTCGGCCTGTAGGGCGGCGTCTTGCAGGAGCGAGCTCTTCAACGCGTTGCAGTCGCTGCGCATTTTTGGCTCGCATTTTTCAACCTGTTAGGTGTCGGTCTTCTTGATACTGCAACTTTTTTATAAATCGCTACAGAGGTCTTCGCGACACCGACGGATTTGTATGGAAACAAAGTAATTTATAGGTAAACAAGAAATTTTTCCCAGTTTCGCAGTTGTGTCGTAGCCCGCGACGCCACAGCAGCCATCGTTCGCTTCGAGTTTTCCCGGACCGACGACGAATCGATGGAGGTGAGAAGTCAAAATCGTCACAATGACGCCGATCCCGCACGGACTCGACATGGATCGGACACGACGAAGCCAGGATAGCGTCCCCGCCGAATATCCAGTCTTCTTTCTGCAGTATTGGAAGCACTTCCGACTAAAGATACTAAACGCCTCTGTATGAAGGCAATATCGAAGCCAGGATGTACGGGAAACGGTAATGGTGAATGCTTTGACCCGAAGCAGTCTCACTTCAAGCTAAACCAACTGCCAGAGGCCGTTAAATTATACATCGTCGACAACTATAAAGGTCTCACAGCAGATGACAAGGGTAATTGATGGTGAGGACCAACATGACCCAATCGAACGCAGCGCGACACATCCAACTAACCCACGTGAAGTTCCGGTGCCGGTGGCCAACACCATAAGAATTCTCCGGTCGCTCTATATGCGTTCGTCTAGTGACGTTCATCGACACGTGGCCAAGTGTGCTGATCAGTATAATCTCAAGGCACCTCTGGTCAACAAAGAGCCATCGTAATTAACACGGCCTCAGTCAGCTTTCTATCAGAGCTCGCACGGCGATTGCACTTCAACTTGCCAAAACTTGCTCGGCTAGCTCGAGGTCAAGATGCTCGTGATCCTCGTCCTAACTGGGTTCTGTATAAACAGGCCGATCCCGTCGACCCAATAGATCAGGGGGCTTGTAGACGTGGGAATACCATCGCTCGATGCGGAGTGCAGCGACTATGGACGTCGGCAAAGCGATCGCAGCAGTCACGGCGTCCGAACATTCACCAAATCAGCACCAACAGCATGGAGAAAGCTCGGCGACGTATTGCAATATGCCAGAGGTAAGATTGGTATCTCATCTTGGAGAAAGACCTGGTCTCAAGTGTTTATTAGTCCTGTCGGCACAATGGAAAAGCTGTCACTCGAGGTAGCGCCTTTCATGATTGGACCATCATCCACAGATGTGGTGCCTTTCGACGCGAAGAATCAACCGATTAAACAGCCCTAATCAGCTCTTGTTTCGGGCCAAAGTTCGGTGGCCGAAGGGTCTTTTCTTCGGTTAAAACAGGCGTCACGTCTCTGGGGCTGACGATGACGTCCGTGTTATCAACGACTTCACTGACAGAGATAACTTCCCACGGAAGCTACAAGTCACGTCGCGACATTGCGCGACGCATTCATAAACTACGAAGCGAGCATCCAGTTGTTTAGGTTATGCTCCTGCTCGGAGACGTTTCCGGTGCTTTTCGGCACGTGCCGGTCAATGAGAATGGGGTACACATATTCGAGTTTCTCTTTGAAGACAACGTGGTTTTTGATCTATCATTTGACTCTGTGTGGTGTACTTTACCGGCATTTTATTCGTTGACAGGGACTGTCATCAATCATCGCTACGAGTCCTCAACCGGAAGGAGGGTCTGAGCTACACATAGACTTGTTCGGAGGCAGCGTGTGGTGTCATGATCCCACTTGGGTGGAGAAAACCACGGTACGCGCTGCACGGATGCTGCAATAGCGCTGCGAAGAGCCATGGCAACGGTGATTGGGCCTAGCGCTATCAACGGGGAGAAGCTCACAGCGTGGTAGACAACTGGCCAAGCGCTCGGGCTTCTGTGGGATACCGTCAACGGTACTGTATTGCTACCAGCTGAGAAACTGCTGAAGACACAGCTTCGCATTCAACAACTACTTCAGACAGACCGTGCTTCCAAACCGGATCTCAATAATTTCCTTGGAAGCTTACGTCACGTAGCTGCGTGCTTTTCTACTGTACGTTCGTTTTACCAGCGAATCCACGTGTCAGCTGTTGCTATGCATCCTGGGCGCAATTGGCAACTAATGAGGAAGTTCGCGATGTCTTTGTTGGTTTCGCGCCGTGCTTTTAGATGGAGACCGCTTCAACAAGATCTCTGTTGTGCAGTTTGCCGGTATTGCTATACCTACTGTACACATTGGCATGGACGCGTCAGACATCGGGTTGTGTGCCCTGGACCCCATGATGTTTGCGTACTTTCTAGTGTAATCCACAGAGGCTCAGAAGCTTGTGCTGTAAATGGAGACCCGTGTTAATTCGATCAACGGGCGGGAAGTTCGTAGCGCCGTGCTGGTTTCTCTCTTCTGTGGTCAGCATTTGCAACAAAACAAAGAACTTGGCTCGACATATGTGTGCCTTTACATCGACAACTCGAGTGCTATTTCGTGGTCCAACCGTCGAAGCAGCAGAAACCCCACTTCTTAGGTTCTCAACAGACTATTGTCCCTGGTTGAGCTACAATACCGCGTTGTTCTCACGGCGGAACACGTTCCTGGAAACGATAATGTCATGGCCGACGCTGGTTCACGAGCAGTGTCTAGTGCTGATAACCTTTGGCCGTTATGGACTAACTTATCAGCTACAGGGACACAGGTGAACGTCGGGCTTCCATTCGACGATTTTCCCAGTCGTGTGGGCGCTATAATGTGCCGCCAAGGCCTGACAGGCGCTACCAACGCCAAATATCAAGCAACTTAGAATCACTGGTCCAAGTTCTCGCGCATGATGGGATGGTTGCCATGGATTGGAAGCTCAGGTGTGGATCACGCTAACCGTCTGGGGTATTTCGCGGTGTATTTGTGGAAGTACGGGTGGAACCGAGCTCTCCGGGGAAATTAGTGCGCGGCTATCGTGTCCAAGCTCGCGAGGAATCGTGGCTCCACCGACGGCTAAAAGGCAATTAGATCTCCAAGTCACTACAGCTGCGTGTTTTGCTTTAATATATCAAACGTTTGTCGCAACCGGACCGGTAGAAACAACCTGTCGCAACCTATTTTCTACGCCTTCTACGTCGCTCACTGAATTTCGATCGCTCCCACCAGTGTCTTTTGTGGCGGAGTGTGCTCCTTGGATAATTCTTCCTTTTACGGCGCTCAAACTGGTAGGAGAGAATGCGTCCTACTAGGAGTCCTAAAGTGTCCTATTGTCCTAAAACCTGGGATAAAAAACTAGCAATTCGGCTCATAAACAATCCCATATTTAGGACGGCACAATGAGTTTTAGGACGAAACAAGCCAGGGTCCGCGTGTCCTAATAGGACACTCGACAACTGGACACTCAGTCTGTCCTATTAGGACAGACTGCAACTCAGACCACTGTCCTATTAGGACAACACCAAGCCCAACATGCACTGTCCTCAAGCCATATCCTCAACTGGCCTAGCTAGAAACAATAAACATCTTAAAGCCCCTCTCTCCAAGAGCAGCCGATTCTTTGTTGTGCGCGAAAAGCACCTCAACAAAACTTCTCTACTACAAAGTGTGTGACAATATTTTTAAAGTGTTTCAAAGGATGATAGTCATTGAAGGTAATAATAGCCGCTAATAACGGTTGAGCGACTTCAACATGCACATAGCAAACGACGGTTAATAATCAGAACGTGACGAAATAGGGGGGGGGCTCAAAAAGCAGCAAAGTACTCGCAAGGGCTACTTGGCTGCAAGTCGATCCGAAGACGCGGTTAGCAAGCGATGGGGGTCTTGGTTAGCGCGGCAGTGTGCTCGGCCTGGTTCGTCGAGTTGTCTGGCGTCGTCGGGGTGTCGACAACAGGTGCGTTTGTGGCAGGCGAGTCCGGGCTGGGAGCCGACGTCGATGGGCAGTTGGACGGCACGTAGACTACCAGGTCGGCCTTCAGGTTGGAACCGACACCGACCGGCAATTGGCACTCCTCCAGGTTCATGGCCTTCACGTCAGCGAGCAGGGTGTTGCAGGCAGTCGAGGCGCACATCTTGTCAATGGTGGCCTGGTCCGGGATCTCAGTGGTCCGTGCCGCACTGTTGAATGTTCGCGCTCGTGAGCAGAGCGGACAAGACACTGCTTCCGCAGGTGGCAGTAGAGGCCAGATAGGCGAGCGCCCTAGCTGCAGAAGGAGTAGCCGCAATGGTCTATGATGCTTGGCTGCAGTAGTGGAGATTCAGAAATGGTTGGTGTGCCCCAGGACAGTAATTGGCCGATTCCGGACACCAGTCCGGATGGTCGCCATACGGAATGACTGAGTCATGCCGGGTGGAATCCGGCCAATCACGGTCGGATTATTTTTTCCGGATGACAGTGGATAGGCTTAAATAACAATTCAATGAATTGCAAATAGGTGGCTACCTTGCGACAGTCTTCTTCGCTGTTCATTCAGCGATTTTCAAGCGTACCCCTCAAGCCTCCAGCCACAGCTCCAACTCCAGACCACGGTGCGTGCCTTCTCCGACCCCAACGCCCCCGTAGCTCAGCGGTAGAGTGGGAGACTACGTCTCCAGGCCGCTGGTTCGAATCCAGCCGGGGGCAGATAGTTGTAAGCTGTGCTGCGTGGATTGTGTTTGTGCTGTACTCTGTGGTGTGTTTGCAATAGCTGGTGCTGTGCTGTGTGCTATGGAGCGACGCGTGTGATGCGGTATATGTATGTACATGCTGTGATGTGCATTTGCTCGTGTATTGCTGGATTGGGCGTGCTGTGCTGTGTGTTGTGCGTATGCTGCAGTGTTGTGTTGGGCTGTGCATGTGCATGTGCTGCTATGTTGTGTACTGTGTGCTGTAACATGTTGTGTGCATTGTGTGTGGTGTGTGATGCTTTGTAATGTAGGCTGTACTGATTGCTGAACTATCTACTGTGGTGTACTGCCTTAGAATGGTGTTGATGCTGGTGAGTGCTGTTTGCTCGTGCTTATGTTTGCTGAACTGTGCTGCCCAACGGCTTGTCAATCCAAGTCAACTGCTGCCCACAGATGCGATGGAGGTGTGCAGGCATCTACGAGGGACCCACTGGATTTCAAGATAAGATACTGTGCTCCAAGCGAGCGATACGCTTCAGGATGCGACGTACGCAGCAGGCGCCAGCGCTTGCGAAGGGACGAAGCTTTGCGAGTTGGTTTCTTTTGGTCGAAGGCGTGGAGACGCTGGCTCGCGGCTGTATCCAGCTTGAGTGCCAGCTCCCAGACTACGTGCTTCCAGGCACTGTAAGCTGCGACGTCGGCTCGTGGAGGCTCCTCTGGGACTTGGTACGGCTTCTGGTACAGTACCATCATTATGTTCACTGCTGCCTTTGCTTCGGCACGCTGGGTTTGTTCCTTCTTACCTTTAACCGTTTGCCATATGTGGTTAGTGTACCAGTTGAGCAGGCATCCAGCAAGGGTGGACGCTGATGCTGAAGCTGGGACGACAACCTCAACAGCCGTAGGTAGCTGTGGTGACTGCTGTTGCGTCTGAGTACTCCCTAAGGCCTGGCTCTGCATCTGGGCTTGCGAGTCTTCAAGGCGACCAAGTCGCTCGCTAATGTTCACAATCTGGGCTAACATGTTGTTAAGAGTGGATGATAGCAGCGTGTCGTTACCAGCGACGGCATTGCTAAGCTGCACGTGGTTTGCCGTCTTCCAGTGAGCTCTCAGGTACGCCCCCCACTCACAGCATGTTCGTATCGTGATGCAGGAGCCAAGACGAGCGTTTGAAGAGGCGATACCGCGATGCAGCTCGTACATGTAGCGCGACGAGACCGAGGTGCTGGTGGTGTTTTCGATGTGGATGCGAACCTCATCCATGTGCATTAGCAGCGATGCAAACGTGCAATCAACGACGTCCAATGCGACATTAAATCGAGCGTCCTGGAAACCAAGTACGTGGCGGTACAGCTCGTCTCGAAGGGTCACAAGCTGACCAAACTCCAGTACCGTCAAACGCTGCTGTAGGTCACGAATTGTCGGCGTTACCACAGGTAGGTCTGGAGCTTGGTACCCTGCTAACACTTTGGCTACGCTCTGATCCTCCTTTGTTGTCGTTCCAATGTAGGCAAACGCCTTGGTTAGTGACTCCAACAGCCAAGCCCCGCGAGTAGAAATCCACTGAATCGACAGCTTCGGCGACGCATTGGCGTACGCAGCGGCTCCACGGCGAATGGAGTGGCTGGTCATATTCGGCGTCACCGTTTGGCTGAGATCAGGAGGCATCGACCTCAACGAATCTCTAATGACCTCGGTAATATAACTTGCGATATTTGGTCTCTTCCTCTCTCGCTTTTGGGGCGGCTCCGACGTGCTGTTATCGTCTTCTAATAGTTGACCCCAGTACAAAACAGCTTCCTCTTGTGAATACGGTTTATTACCAGGAAGGTCGGACTCTGCGAAATTAGGTGCCAACGGAAACAAATATTCGGAGGGCTCGTCGTAGCAGATAAACAGCAACCCGAATGCGTGAAGCATACACTGCTGCCATCTCTCCGGGGACTTATATATTGAGACGCCTTGAACCATAGAGGTTTTGATCCTGGCAATGTGGAGGAAAAGCTCTCCAGAAGCTGAAATCGAGAGCTGTTGTTTACGTGCAAAGCAGGTATCGACAGCTCTTCCAAATGTATGCCACATCATAGTCAACAGAGCCGCATCATGTACAGACTTCAAACCGGTAGCCACGTCAGCTTTCGCAATTAGATACCCAACGAGTACACTTAGATCATCCACGTTACACCCAGGAGCGTCATTGGTTTGCACATTTGCGCGCAAATTCCTCTCTTCTATGTAACTAGCCATTTTGTCCCGAATCTTGGCAATTCTCTTAGGGTCACCAAGAGAGTTGGTGTAGCGCTCGCGAAGCATGTTCACAACTTGTGAAAAATACCCTAGCGCTGTCGATTTTGCTAGTAGTCCATCCGCCGCTCTCGCCTTGTTGCTTTTCTTCGTCTGTATGTAAATCGAAAAAGCTGTTAGCAATGAGTACATGTTCTGGGTCGGGAGACTAGCTAATTCTCTATGAGCTTTATGTATGCCATCTAAATCGACTTTCGATAATCCTATTGAAGTGAGGAACTCCTCAAACATCTTCTCCGCCGCAATCTCTTGCCCTATTGTGCCAGCAGGAGTGTCCAGACCTCGCGAAGCTCTCCTCATTGCCTCTCGCAGTGTGAATCCCGCGCGTAATGCAAGCTGGTCGGTTGCATGGCGCCTCATCGTGAAGTTTTAGTCTATATTTACTCTTCAACCGCATGAATTTTTTATCTGGTACAGACGCCTTTTACGCGATAATACATGATGTGACTTGATTTTACTAAGGCGTCTTATCGCGAAATGTCGAGAAAGCCGGACAATTCCGGAAATAAGCTGGAATAAACTACCCCTACCCCTAAATAGCGGTTATTGGGTGGTTTGAGCAAATAAAAGTTCATGCTGTCCAGCGATTGGCTGTGGATTTTTTTAGCCTACAGTACGGGGTGGGGTCTCCGTCAGGAATATACTTATCCTACAATAAGTAAAGCCAATGTGACTTTTAAGTAACTCTTACGTAAATTTACGTAGATAGTCCGGAAAAAGTTAATATTTGAGGTTTAGGACAATCTGGAGGACACAAATTATATTATTCTGTAACGAAGGATTAGTCGCTTTTTAGGACACATCTCCAAAATCTCCCTGTAAAATTTAGGACAAATAGGACAGTTTAGGACGTGTCTTAGGACGCATTATCCTACACCCTCAAACTTGGTGTTGGTAGAAGACCGTCGGCCA